ATAGAAACATTGGAATTAAATTATTAATCACACTCTTACAAAAACACACACACACACACAAACAGTAAATCCTGTATGATATAAAGCTAATCTATGCTAGTGGTATTTCATGTTGACATGCAGTGGGAATACAGTCATCAATGGGAATTGCACAATTTAATTATATTGCCCACACCATATTTTATACCATATTATTTTCAAGAGAGGAGTAAATTAATGTATATTTGGTAGTGTCATATAAGATCAAGACACTGCATAGAAATTGTCTCCGTACCAAAATGTAAGGCACAAATATAATTTAAATAGGTTGAAATACGACACTGATAAGTAGGGCTTGTTATCCAAAACATCATAAAAAAAGGTTAAGTAGAATAGAAACTGACCTCTTACAGGGATAATGTTAAGTTAATAGTGATTTCATATTATGGAAGAAGGAAAATAGCATGGGGTAAGAATTACATGGAATTACATAAATAATGATGACTTTAATTTAGGGGTAATCTATTCCCTTAAAAGGGTTGTCCTTTCGAATATTAGCAGTATTGATGTCTGAGTGGTGAATTATACAGTGACATGATACTGTGTCTATGCATGGGGTGCTTCTCAGCACTTTAGTAATTACAACTCAAACAAAAAACACTGAAATGACCTTTTAGAAAAAGAACAAGTTTCCTGTTTTAGAGCTCAACTGTAAATGTAAATGAGTTTCCCCAGAGAGCTGCTTAAGCCTCTCTGCATAGTTGGTCTAGACTGGTGTTATCATAAAAATCTTTTTAATGAGATTATGCACTCCGAGTTATGCTACTAAGGCGTAGTCTTCATTTGGAGAGAGATTTTGCTCCCAAAACTTTCTGTGAAATATATTCACCTTCCCTTTTACTGTTTTCTTTTCTTGCTATTGACTTGGAAAGCTTTAAGAGGAAAGGAAAATAAGACAAGGCCTCTTTAGTATCGTATTTGTATAAATGGAGATTTAAATCTCTTTCTGTATGTGGATCTCCTCATCTAAAGGTTTAGATGGACTCTTAAAATGTCTTAGGCTGTGCTCAGATTAGTCAAACACCAGCCTTTGCAGTCAAAAAACCTGTGACAAGGCTGATCTGGGAAGAATGGTAATGTGGTTCAGGAGAGGAGAGGAAGAAAGGGACAACCCTGTGCTTTATGCTTGTGGTTGCCTTTACTTTTCCATGATTGACCAACACCATAATAGTCATAGAAGTGTTTACTAATTTTCCTCTATGTGTTTACCAGGTCTAACAAGGTTAATTCCTTTTGTGTGTGTGTGTGTGTGTGTGTGTGTGTGTTCTTTTTACCTTTTTTAGGATCATCATTTGAATTCAGAGTGCGTCAAGGGATATAAAAGCTCTAGAATTGGAAAATAAACTGGAATTCTGAATTTTGAAATTGAGTTGATGAGAATAAGAAAACAATGAGTCCGTGCAAATAGAACAAAATTGTGGATTGAGACTGAGGGATTAATTTAACAGAGATGACTTGGATTACAGGGATCACTTGAACTGACCCACTGATATTTCTTTCCCTTACAAAAGGGGTAAACTGTCTATACTGTATAATATTGCAGGTATGATTTCTGATTTACAGTGCCAAGATTTATTTTGCATATTTTATTTTATTGTTTTTCCAGATGTGCAGTTCATAGATGTATTGTTTATGATATCTTGATATATTGATTGGCAGTAATATATTGGCATGTGAAATGCCAAGTATATTGATTTTTTGAATTGTGTAGATACAGTACAACTAAAAAGAAAATCAGCAATGTGTTCAATCTTCATTTATTATAGAAACATTGGAATTAAATTATTAATCACACTCTTACAAAAAAAAAATACACACACACACACACACAAACAGTAAATCCTGTATGATATAAAGCTAATCTATGCTAGTGGTATTTCATGTTGACATGCAGTGGGAATACAGTCATCAATGGGAATTGCACAATTTAATTATATTGCTCACACCATATTTTATACCATATTATTTTCAAGAGAGGAGTAAATTAATGTATACTTGGTAGTGTCATATAAGAGCAAGACACTGCATAGAAATTGTCTCCGTACCAAAATGTAAGGCACAAATATAATTTAAATAGGTTGAAATACGACACTGATAAGTAGGGCTTGTTATCCAAAACATCATAAAAAAAGGTTAAGTAGAATAGAAACTGACCTCTTACAAGGATAATGTTAAGTTAATAGTGATTTCTATTGCATAAGTTGAGACATTGAAAAGGGTTAGTGATCAGATCCGTGATTCCACAGCTCTTGGATTTCTGCAGTTGAGCACTTGAGCTTAATAGCATTAGAACCACGACTCACTGTAGCATTACAGCAGTTTTACTCACCCTGAGAACTTGGCAGTCCTTGAATTACTTGACAAATTGGACCATTTTCCACAAAAGCAGACACTTTGTGTTGCCCACACTCTCCAGCTCATTGTCTGTTATTCTCATGACTGGAGTAAGCCCTTTCTGCCAAGTTCTCACAAAGGTCCCCAAGCAGGATTCTGTTGCAATAAATAAACCATAGTATCTCGGTTAATTTTCATCTAATATGGATCTCATTTCACATGTGAAAAGATTATCCAGTCAAAGCAGATATATTTTACACATGCAAGTCTTAAAGGTGCAGTAGCAAAAACAGAATGTTTAATTCTAAATGTCAGAAGGGAAGGTGGACAATGGTCATCTGAAACTATAACACTATTGTTTTTTTGCAAAAAAAAAACCTTGCCCTAGTGAAAAATAAATATACTAACATTTATTTGAAATACATTTAATTCATGATAAGTATGCTACAAATACATTTATATATTTATGTACTTAATTAAAATACCCTGCAATTGTACTTTTAGTATGCTAAACTGGTCTGCTAAATTGGAACAACTAATTTTGTACTTAATGTACTTTAATTGTTCGGAAGTAGTGTATGTATACCTAAAGTCTGCTAAATTGGAACAACTAATTTTGTACTTAATGGACTTTAATTGTGCGGAAGTAGTGCTGAAGTCCAACTAAAGATATACTGAAGTATATTTGATTGTGCTAAAGTGGAACTATTGTATACTTCAGGTACACTTTAACTATCTTGCATTTAAAGACCAATATCATTACACCAAATACACAAAATAATGTTCTTTTTAGAAACATCATATGACCCCTTTAAGAAATGTGCATTGTGCACAAGTAGTCCAAATAAAGTTTAATTTTAATTTTTATATCAGTAAGTCTCAAGCTATATGTCAGTAAACATGTTAATAGATTTGAACTATTCTTAGTATAAAATAAATATATTTTAAATATATTTACTCGGGAAAAGTGTGAAAAAAAACACAAAAGCCTGGGTGATTTGTTGGTCTTAGTTGCATAGCTGGTTTAACCTGGTTGTCCAGCTGTATTCACAGTCTGACTAACTGTAAAGTGCTACAAATCCCTCTTAAACTAGCAAATATATACCAGGCTAATAAGGCTGTCCAGGTGGTTTTTATTTATTTTTTTATTTTTTTAAGTAATACAGTGTTAAAAACAAATGGCAGCTGTTGTTGCCAAAACTTAACCGAAAAAAATACTGTAGCAACATTAAGTTTTACAGATTAAACATTTACATAAAAAACATATATTTCTTTAACTGAGATGATAGTATACCAAAATACTAAAATCTGTTTTTTTCTCTTTATAATATGTTGACAACCACATGAAAAAAACGGGCGATTAAGAAAAAGTGAAATGGTAAATTAAAACGTATCACAAATAGCTTTTCCACAAGCTAAGGTAAATACTAAAATATGGAAGGTGCTTGTTGTCATAGACACAAATAATGCAATAAACATTAATTTAACAACATAAGATGTAACATAAAACCCTAATGTACAAATTCATTTGATTAAAAAAAACAGTTAAGAAACATAATTTCCATTAAAAAAAAAACCCATCAAATATGACAATTCTGGGAATGTCAATTTACAGTTTTTAACTGTAAATTATAAGATGGCTTTTTCTTTTTCACTTCCAAAATATATACATTTAACAGTATTTTGATGTAAAATTATATGAAATGTCCCATTAGATCTATTAGTTTTTCACTCTATAGGGAAACATTAAAACCTTTTGTTTTTTTTTTACCTAAGCATTTTTAGTCTTTTACCATTAAATTTAGAATCATTTTTTATCGTTTACCATTTGACTTCACTGCCTGTATTTTTACAGCTTTATAGTGCAGCATCACAAACTTAATCACTCTAATTATGCATCTGGGTTAGTCATATGGTTCACAAAATAATTAAAGCATGTTATGAGCTATGAACATAAGGGCTAATGTAATTCTGAGAAATAATCTGTGAATAGAGCAAAGTTTAAAGTGCTGTGATAAAAGTAGAGGAAGAGAGGGCAAAGCTACTGCTCAGCATAAATGTGACCATAATTTCATATTTTAGTAACCATGTTCCTTTGAAAGCACTAACCAAATCAGATAGTTGGATTTAAGATGGGGGAAAAAAACCCAGCCTTCTTCAAATGGTGCCCTCAACCCTTGTGTTTCTTCCAAGGTTATGAAGTAATGAATTACAAATAATCATGTTACTGTAATTATTTATGTTAGTTGTACTTCAAGTTTTTCAAAAAGGGTGTACTTTGACTTGAGTATCTTTTAATGGTACTTTTACCATGCCATTTTCCTTCCATCTGTGTTTGTTACTTCCCTGTCAGTGTTGCCAGATCTCACTAAAAAAATAAGCATTGGGTCTGACAAAAAGGCCAAAAATAAACAACTGTTTTCATTGTTGTGTGGGATAGGAACTATTTCTTCTTTAAATAAGCACAGTGTGCAGTACAGTGTCAGAGACGAACGGTCATAATTATTTGAAATCTTATTTTAAACTATGCCTTCAATAACAGTTTATATTATTCTAACTGAGTGTAGAAACTGGTATCTCTTTTGCTATTTACAGCTTTGGTAAATAAATGCTTCTCTTTTTATCAGGTGGAGTGGTTGAAAAATGAAGATTTGGTTAGCTCCCTTGGAGACGATAACATTGACACTCGTGCTGACCACAATCTGATCATCAATGAAGCCAGGCTCTCTGACTCTGGCAACTACACCTGCCTCGCCAGTAACGTAGTCGCAAAAAGACGCAGTGCTACAGCTACTGTAGTTGTGTTCGGTAAGATGACACTGATATGCTTGTTGTGCTGTCTCCTCATGTTTGCTAAAAATACTACTAAACAGCTCTCTGCTTGCAACAGGGCTGTGAAGTCATTAATTATCACATTTTACCTGTTAACTCATTAAGTCCTATACCTCTTTATGATAATTTCCACTTTTCGTGCGAACTATTATTTACTCACCCTCACAACTTGAATCTGTAATTTAGCTTTTTTGTCAATACAAAGAAAGTCAGTGGGGTTCAATGTTTTTTTGGATCCCATCAACTTTAATTGTATGGACAAAAACAGTTGAAACATTGTTTCAGCAAAATAAAAAAAAACATCTAGGTTTGGAATGACATGTGAGTAAATGAAAACTGGATAATCATTTTTGAGTGAACTCTTCCTTTAAGATCAGTTATATATTATTGACACTTAAATTACAGAAGAATTTAAACTATAGGCTTAAAGCTATACTATTTTCACCTAAACCAGGGGTAGGCAAGTTCAGTCCTAGAGAGCCGCAGTCCTGCAGAGTTCAGCTCCAACCCTGAAAAAAAAACTCACCTGCCTATAGCCTTAATTAGGGTTGGAGCTGAACTCTGCAGGACTGCGGCTCTCTAGGACCGAACTTGCCTACCCCTGACCTAAACAAACTTTAGCTTACTTTAAGAGGTTTGCTGAGATTCATACACTCTACAAAGCGGTTCAAACTAGTGAAGACCACTACCAGTGACTACCACTATCCAGGGGCGTGTCCACATTAAAAATGAGTTTTGCCACCCCAAAGCAGAGTATGGAATCGAAGTGCAGTGAGAGCGGAGCAAGGAGAAGAGCAGCGTGATTTTGAATGAATCAAGGATTTTTTGAAAGTCGGTGAATCTTGGTTTTCGCTCACTCCGAGTCGACTCCACTACCGCTCCATCACGAGCACAATTAATGCCAACAGCCCATTATATAACTACATTTTTGCAAGAATTTGCAATAAATACCATTAGTTAGCTTGACATTGATGGATCATTCAAATCAGACAGAAGGTGAAGGTTGTGAAGACTGTAACAGGTAAGTGTGGGAAGTTATAGTTCTGAAGGAATTTGTATTAGTTTATACAGTTTATTGTACAAGTAGTTAACAGCCGTTCTAATTATTGTAGCACACACACACACACACACACACACACACAGACAGTAGCTCGCACATCACAAATCACACACACACACAGAAACAAAAACTTGTTGTCAACGCTGTCCTGTGATTTATCAATAAAGTTGCTTAGATACAGAAAAGTTTTAGCGAAAATGTAATTTTGTTTTGAAGAAATTAAAACCCAGTGCTTCACTAGTAGACAGACGTTGCACAGACAGGCAGGACTAATTGACACGCAATCGCGCTCTCACAAATGCATTCAAATAAATGTAATCTTACTGTGCTGCTCTATCTGTATCTGATTTAATGACTGATAAAATAACTGATGAAAATGTACTGTTGTTTTCTTCCTTCCAAACAAAATTTGCGCTGCAAAAAGCAACAATGACAGAATTTTTAATGCTGATAACCTAAGCATGGCAAATTGTTTAATGCACACCTTCTTGAAGAAAATGAAATAACACAACATTATTTTATTTTTGTTTTTGTCTTCTCAAATCTGCTATAACTGTTATAATCAAAGAAAAAAATCTTGACCAAGGGTGCATTAGGTACTCACAGGCTATGGGTGCTAAGGGACACTTTGGGAAATGCCATCAGCATGACCTGTGTCTGAAGCACATGTGAAAACACTCCAATCCCATTGGCCCGCTCAGCCTGTGACGTCATTAACGGAGCGTTGGAGTATAAAAGGATGCCTGTAATGCATGTCATCAACTTCTTTTGTCTTCAGGAGCCGTTTGTTTGCGCATGTGTAGGAAACACTCTGCAAAACGTTTCAGTTAGTGCGTGCCTCCGTTTGAGGACCTGACAACATGCATGATTGATGCGTTTTGTGCATGAGTGAGGAAGGAGCGTGCACGTTCAGTTCTCGAGGGAATTGAATGCGCTTATTATGAATAAGCGTGAATGTGTGTTTGACTCACGAGACGGATAAATGCATGATGCGATCATGCTTAGAAATGCCTTGTATGCTTGATTCTCTTTTGAGGAATGAGAATTGAGCACCTACCACCAGTGGTTCGGGGGCTGTCGAGGCAGGCAGACCGTTCACAGGGATTGTAGGTGGGGCATGGAAGGAATCCGACAGGAAGTGCTTTCCCTTTAAGGAGTTCCTTTCTTTCTGTTCTCTCCTGAGAGACAGTAATCGGCATTCACACGAGCATGTCCGGCTTTAGATTATGGTGTTGCTTGAACTAGGCACGCTTAGCTCTCGAAGGGATTTAAATGCGTGTTGTTTGATGCGGTCACAATAATTGGTTCCACCCAGGCTTGACTCTCTCTCTCAAGGGATGAGAGTTGAGCTCCTACACTCCACGGTTCGGTTCCCGCGACCCCCATTGTGGTGAGGCAGGATCGAGCATGTGGGTTGTAGGTAGGGCTGTGACGGTGGCAGATTTCCACCACCAAGGTGGCCCATCTGTATCATCATCAAAGTTGATAACGGTCTTAGGACAGTTCCCTTTGACTAGCTGCCCGGGTGGAGCTAGATGTCCCTCACGAGAGTATGTGAATATTGAAGCAGGGTTCCTTGCTCCTCTGTTCAGTCTGCATGTACAGGTTCATTAGATTGAGCTCTCTTAAAGTCTTCCTATTCAGGATTTTTTTTTGTCAAAGATGTACCAGTTGAGGCTGGTTTCCTATGATAAGATTTCCCCCTGAGTCGAGAGCTTTTTCTCTACCTAATATTTCTGGTAGCAGGGTTGGGCTGACTCCCTGCTTTCTAGGGCTTTAAAGTAGTCAGTCCCCCTGAGGTTCCTTTTTATATGCTAGGCTGCCTTCCCTAATTTCAGGGTATTCTCAAGCAGGCGGTCCCCTGCAACCCCACGTGCTTTGGGCTGTCTCCCCTGACTAAGGGTTTTAAGTAGAACATCTCGGGTTACGCATGTAACCATGGTTCCCCGAGAGGGAACGAGACACTGCATCCCCTTGCCATGCCTAGGGCCTGCCTGTGTCATGTCTCCTTCAGACAACAAAGTTGATGATGTGCTTTACAGGCACCCTCTTATACTTCCGGGTGCTCTGCTAATGACATCACGGGGTGAGTGGGCCAATGGGATTGGAGTGTTTTCACACGTGCTTCAGACACGGGTCATGCTGATGGCATTCCCCAAAGTGTCCCCTAGGGGACGCAGTGTCTCATTCCCTCTCGGGGAACCATGGTTACAACCAGACGTTTTCAACCAGGCGGCAGAAATCTTCCACTTAAGCATGGCAGATTTTCCATGAATTATCTACAAGAATAAATATAAATATAACTGTCCGCCATATTGGAAGGGTCAACTTGACGTCATTCACCATAGTAATCAATGAATATTCGAAGATGCCACAATCCTTACAAATCTGTGGTTCCGCCCCTCTCTTGCATTCTCGCCTGTGAAAGATTATCCCGTTTCTTTGGGAATTTAAATCTCGGCGGTTTTTACAACCATCGGCTGTGCAGGATTGTGGCATCTTCGAATATTCATTGACTATTATGGTGAATGACGTCAAGTTGACTGTTGCAACATGGCGGATGCGTCTATGTGCTTGAAGCTGTCGAATGAGGCATCTACTTATACATATCTATGATCGCAGCACTGTTTAATAATGGTGTCCGGGAGTAAGTGCACCTGCTTTGAGCTTGTGCGTATTGCCGCAAGCAGAGCCTTTCAAACTAAACTCCATTTGATTGTCTTTGCCCAGTGTCTGCGCTACTGCTCTCCAGAAATTGATAGATAACAATACTCTTAATGCTTGTTTAAACTAGAGCTGTGGATGTCTCTTAACCGTCTCACACAAGTGCTACTCATCATGGGTGTCTGTTGTAATTGAATAAATAACTTTTCAAAAACATAATAAAAAAAAGAACCTTAATAATTCCAAACTTTTGACTGGTAGATTTTATGATTAGCTGTTTTTTATTATTTGCATTTAGCATTCTATTATCTATTCTGTTATATTTTTTTCTGGCAGGTTGAGGGAAAGGTTGTCTCTCAAGCTCAGTTGTTGTCTTATTCAGTGGAAGATCTCTTTATCTCTGCAGTGAATGGTGGATGGTCTCTGTGGACAGAGTGGTCTCCTTGCAGCGTGAACTGTGGGAGAGGAGTCCAGAAGCGATCTCGGACCTGCACTAACCCCGCTCCTCTGAACGGAGGAGCGTTCTGTGAGGGCATGTCTGTGCAGAAGATCACCTGCAATGCACTCTGCCCAGGTCAGATGCTCATCAACCCCAGCACACCCCTGAGGTGCAGCTTGTCCTCCAGCATCCAAGCTCAGTGTAGTTTTTAGTGTCAGCATAGCACTTAAAAGCCATGTTTTACATTCATAATACATCAGACATCGTAGTACATTTTCCATTCTATATAATAATTCAATGAAAGGGTGTTATTATGGGTATTACTGAGGCTTTACTTCATGTATGTAAATGAGACCTTTTGTTCTCCTATCTCTAGTTAGTGTTAGTTAGTTAATTTTATTAGAGGAGTTATTCATGTTGCACTCAGTTGTTTTCTTGTCTTCGTGATATTTAAATCAATTTGTGAACCTGTTTTTTTTCATCCGACCATGCATGATTACTGTTGGTTTGCATAATAAATTTTAATCTTTTCATTTTATTGAATAATTTGTTCACAGTTAGGCTTCAAATGAGTGAAACACATTTAATTTGTTTAATTCTTAATTAATCATGCATTGAGTTTATATATGGTACATGATGACAATTAAAATACAAAGTATTTTTTGTAGAAATTAAATTCAATAGGAAAACATGTTCATAGTATTCTCAGATGTCTTTTAGGTTGTGGTGCAAAAAATAATTCCTTTGATTAAAAATCATACCAGTAATTAGTTGAGAATAGTTGTGACTATTACATAGGTCAGTTATTTTTTAAATGTTAATTAAATTACACAATATACCATGTTGATTCATTGTTTATAATTAATTTCTAAAACCTCTTAAGCATCTGTCCAATTGGGTAGAGTTAAATCTCACAGTATTTATTTTATTCACATAATGTGCAGCAAAACATTATGAACAACATAAGTGCCTTTGCGTATTCAGCTTGTTACAGTGTTACGCTACCATACAAAAGATTGATGTTGGTAAGATTTTTTACTGTAAAAACAGTAATATTGTAAAATGTTATTACAATTTAAAATAAATGTTTTCTATTTTAGTACATTTTAAAATGTAATGTATTCCTGTGATGCTAAAGCTGAATTTTCAGCAGCCATTACGCTTTAGTGCCACATGATCCCTCAGAAATCATTATAAAATGTTGCTTTGATGCTCAAGAAACATTTCTTATTATCTCAGTTGAAAACGAATATTTTTGTGGAAACCATGATTACTTTCTTTCCAGTATTCTTTGAATAGAACGGTTAAAAGAACAGCATTTGAAATAGAAATCTATTATAATATTGAGATAATATTGAGAATTTGATCAATTGGCTTAAAATATGTTGATGTAATGTGTGTAACCCCGCCAGGGTGGTCAAGAGTTGGACCATTAAAACACTTTTAATTAAGTTTATGAAGTCTCTAGAAATCTCATACGTTCATTGCCGAGTGCAGTGAATGCACAGAGCAGCTGTTCACCTTCCTTAAACGGCAACCCCGTTGTGTGCTCTGCAGTGGATGGAGTCTGGGAGGAGTGGAGCGAATGGACGATGTGTAGCGCGCAGTGTGAGAGGCAGCGATGGAGGGAGTGCAACGCTCCACCGCCCCGTCACAGAGGCAAGATGTGTGAGGGAGAAGGTCAAAGCCCTGAGAACTGCACGGGAGGACTGTGTACGCAAAGTGAGTATGTGCAAATGGCGTATTATGTCATAAACACCGTCATTTCATCGATGACAACAGTGTCATCGTCATCACATGTTGGTCATGCTATTGCTCACTTGGTCCTTGACACAAAGCTCAAGAGCGAGAATTGCAATGTTTCGGGAACTGTGATAATTGTCTGCTAAAAGTGGATGAAAGTGAAGGCATCATGCCCCGTGTCCCTCTCAATATCTCCCTCGTAGCTGTTATGATGAGAACCCTCTCAGATTTCTCCTCCTTAATGAAGGATGGAAACATCCTGCAGCCTAAGTGATCCAAAACCATCTGCCAGTAGCTTCCCATGGCAACAATGCCGAGCAACAGTATCCACAGCTGATGTTGGCACAGCCTGCAGTTGGACATCTACCCGTGATGTGAATCAGATAGCAGATTTGTAATAAGTATTACAGGGATGGTCTGTAATTCTCTCTCCCTTTCTTTCCCTTGTTCTGTCTCTTTTTCCCTGCAGATGGGAAGCTGATGCATGATGTTAAGCCTCAGAGTGAGTTCCTACTCCATGTGAATTCATAATTGCCGTACAGATGAGGGAATAAAACAACAAAATAAGCTGTTACTAATGTTAATGTTGAACTTCTGTTTGAATCAGTTTTATCTTAAATATCCTTTTTATGAAAATTTATGAGAATTTGTGTGGTAGCTTTTTTTTCTTCATCCTTAATTAAGAGCAGCTCAGTCACCTCAAATATGTCTTCACTTCTACGCTTGGTTACCTGTATCATTATGCTGACAACACGTGCCGTTTTCAACAAAGTGGAAAAAAAGATGCAGAAGATTAATTAGCAAGAATCCAATCTGTCTCTCAATTTGAATTTTAGTATGGAAATCACAAACCAACTAAGGCATCCACAGCAAACAAACTTTAGAAATAAGAGTTTTTGCAATGCAAAAATAGTTGTTAGAAAATATGAAATCAAATAATACATTTATTATATAAAATTAAAGTATAAAAAATTATAACATAATTGGACAAAAAATGCCAGTGGAACAAGAAAATAATTTTTCTCTAAAAACAAAATATTTTATCTAAAACAAATCTTATTGTCTTATTATGGCAATTTTTCTTCTCAGCTAAATTTATCAGAAAAAGGCAAAGATGCTGATTATGAATTAGATGATTCTCAGTATAGTCCTAAATATTTTGCAGGTGTCATTATGAACTTTTCCAAATGTTCTACTTATCCATTTCAGAGGATTTCAAAGTGCTAGTCAGTGTATTGTGTCCTTTCAGATTAGAGAGAGTGAGTGATTGGATGTGGCATTTGAACATGTGCTATATTTAGATGAAGCGACGAGGTGTAATCATTGAATATTAACTCGCCTCGTCAAGCATATTATGTCTTAATTTCTCCCTGTGTATTATTTTAACCATATTGAGGCACTTTGCAAAACATCATTTTAAATATGTATTAGTACCAGGTGCTTCTGCATTGTTACAGTGATGTGGCTCTGAGACTCTTCCGTGTGCATTGGTGTGTGAGCTGGGTTATAATGCTTCTAATTGAATCTATTAAATCTGTTCCATGATGGACATGCAATTAATTCACCTTTACACTTGGACAGAAACTTCTTTCCAGCTTGAAGCATGTAATCCTGTTCAACTTTGCGTCAGGATATTTGAAATGCAGTGCTGTAGTTTTATAAACATATTCTTCCTCTCATGGCATGATTAATGTCGTCTGTGTCCTTTGTGATCTGGCGAGTTCTGTCTGCCCAGCCCTCCTGCTGCAAAGGTCATTTGGGCCAGTGCTATAGAAGCCAGCTGAACAGATGTATCATTGTGTGGGGTGTTGGCAAACCACCCTGCCAATTATTAAAGTAGTAAGAGCCCTGGAATTCACACCTCCCAAACTGCCCTCACGTACCAAGCATACCTTTATACACTGCTAAACGTGCATATTGCACCTGTTCCATTTGCACAGGTGTCTAAAAGATTCGCAATGACCAGACATGTCAGCTTTAATGTTTCTCTGTCACCAAAATGATATTTTTGTGGCACCATCACAACATTTCACTGGCACAACAAAACTGTTAAAAACTCTATATCTGATTTATCTTATTATCTTGGTTATCTTATTATATTACTATCTTTTTTGTCTATTTCATAACAATAATAGCAACATATAATAGCAGCAATAATGTCGATAACAATAACATCTACTGCTACTACCACTACTAATAATGAAATATTATAAAAGATTACTTATCATTAAAGTTTTATTTTATACTATTTCATAACACAATATAACAAATTATATTAATCATAACTGCTATTTCATAATACTATTATTTCATATAATTATATTATATTATTATTATACAATATAATTTATTAAATATAATAGATTATATTTACAACTATACACTTATTGTTTCTTTATTATCTGGCACTGTGAAAACATTTCACTTTCACAAATCTACAAAACTATTACATGAACCATATCTTGTTTTATTTCATAACACAATAATAATAATAATGATGAAAAAAGTCAAATAAAAGAGTGCTTATCATTAAAGTAATTCTTTATATTATTGCATAACACAATAACACCTTCTAATAATAATAATAATAATAATGATGATGATGATGATAAATGCGCAAACAATTTAGTAGTAGTAATAATAATATTAGTGGTATGACGTAGTATAAAAGATTAGTTATCTATTTTTAAATAGAATAGTAAATAAACTACTACTACTAATAATAATAATATTATTAATAATAATAATCATTATTGCTATACTATTTTATCCAAGATAGCAGAGGTATGTACATGTATGTGCTATTTGGCATATTTTCCTAAATTGTTTCCACAATAAATGATGTTTTTTCCATGAAGCCTAAGCCTGTGTGTGTGTACATGTTTTTCTATACTGGTGGGGACTTAAACCTGAATACACACCAACTCATGGTGACTTGTGTCACCGTGGGGACCTAAATTGAGGTCCCCATGGGTACAGAAGCTTATAAATCATACAGAATGAGTTTTTTTTTTTGAGATTGTAAAAATGCAGAAAGTTTTCTGTGAGGGGTAGGTTTAGGTGTAGGGCGATAGAAAATACAGTTTGTACAGTATAAAAACCATTACGCCTATGAAGAGTCCCTACAAGAATAGTGAACCAGACGTGTGTGTGTGTGTGTGTTTGTGTGTTTATGGCTGTGTCCCAGGTATGGAGAACTCTATTGATGTTGCGCTGTACTCTGGTCTGGCTGCGGCGGTGATCGCTGTGGTCGTCCTCATAGTGGCCATCACCCTCTACAGGAAGAGTCAAAGTGAGTATGGAGTGGACGTCATTGACTCATCTGCTCTTGCTGGGGGCTTCCAGTCCTTCAGCTTCAAAACCACCAGACAGGGTAAGAGTTCATTGTAGATGAAGCGGTTCGGTTGGATTAATAGATTTATTGTGATACTGAAGTTTCTGTGATGCTTGTCACAATAACAGGCTAAGCCTCAATGAACATTCAGACCAAATAATTAATCCAAATAAATAAATTGCTCATAAAGGCATGCAGACGCATGCCATAAGATTTTTTTTATTTCACAGTGAGACACTAACATATTTCAGTCACACAAACAGCCTCCCCTGAGCAAACATACATTCGCACACAAAAAAATGAGTAAATGTTTAAGGCATGCTACGTTGACTTCAATTCTGCCTTTTTGTCAGCTGTGCCGATAACTTTTGTTGATAAGACCACGATTATAGTCACATGGCCCACACTTGGTTCCGCTACACGCATCCATATTACCCCCGCTGACACTTGAGAAAGTGATAGCCATCGCCTTGCAGGGTAATCAATCCTGCCTGCTTGTGACAGCACAGTGAAAGGCTGTGACTAGCAGCTTGTGTTTACTGTGCTCAAGGCCTGGGATGGCGAAACTCCCCACCTTTGCATGCAACAGGAATGAGGGGATCAAGGATCAGCTGAGCCGCATCTGTCAGGTCATCAACCCTATTTAAAAAGGCCAACTTTATCCTAGCCTCCCGCTGCGCCTTAATCCAACAGCCAATCCAGTTCCCATCAGAGTTTATAGGAAAGACCAATCCCCATGCAATGGAAATGAGAGCATGTTGGATGTTCATTTGAAGATGTGGGATGTAGATTGAGACAATAGAGGCTTCTCTAAACAGTTGTTCATTTTGAAAGTTCAAAAGTTTTTTGCATTTTGATTTGGTTTTATTTCTCTTAAGGTAGATTTTGTGTTATTCATTATATTTTGTATCACTTTCCCTTTTATCTCATTTTGCTGCATGATATCTGTTGCAGTTTTCTCAGTATGTAATTATGATAAAGTTTCTGAAGTGTTCCAGCTGACTCTCAAAATCTCAGGTAACAGTATGACACTCCGGACATTTGCCCGCTTGTCTGCTCTTGAAATCTGAGCCACTGAGTCATTTTAATCACGACTCTAATTCCAAATCTTTCCCCGCAAGGTGCCCACTTCATGCCTGTTTCATTAACTTCTATCATCCTGCTGTCTCGTACTTACATTTTTCTCTGTCATTTTTTAAGATTTCCTATCCCACAGTGATCATATCCTGCTTCTGAAGAGATATGAGAGGGGAAAACCAATTTGTTGTGGATGAGAATTTAAGAAGTTGAACCATTTAATGCTTTAATTTCTTCATATGTCTGGTGAAACTAAATCAGGTTCAGTTCTCTGCTATAGGTAGTGGTTAATTCACCCAAAAATCTAAATGTTTTCATCTCATGTCATTCCAGACCTTTGAGTTCGTTTCTTCTGTGGAAGACAAAAAAAAAAAAAAATTGAGATGTTTAATACTGTTTTATTTTTATTTTTTTTGTCCATACATTGGATGTAAAAAAAAAATTGGACCCCATTGACTTTCTTTGTGTATGGACAAAAACAGTTGAAATGTTCTTCACAATATCTTATGAGTTCTACAGAAGAAAGAAAGTGATAATGGTTTGGAGCAACATGAAGAAGAGTAAATGATGGCAAAACTTTAACTTTGGGGTGAATATACCTTAAAAGGATCATGAAGAAGTTGATAATTCCAAATGTGCATATGCAGCAGCATTTTTCCAAAATTTTTGGCATTTTTCCAGCATAATTTGTTCCATCCTGACACCTTAGAACTTTGTAGGACCGTTCAAATTCGTAAGACACACCTGTCATCACCCTGTTGCAAAACCTTGACCTGCCCAAGCATGGCAACTAGAAATATCCCAAATGCCTGACACCGATCAGCCCAGCCTGGGGTAATTAACGATTTTCCTAAAAATAAAGACCCATTAGCCTCCTGCCTCCCACCGCTCACTGTGCAGCAGCTGGCCAGCAAGGACTAAGTGACTCAAGTGTTAGAGCTACATTGGCACTGGGATGAATCGTGAGGGCTCAGTGACGGTGTGTCTATCTCAGACTGGAAAAGGTGAGAGAGCAACAGCGAGGGATGAAGACCCCCTTCCAGGAGCTGTTCTGAGTTCAAGCTGGGAGGTGACAGATTTATAAACTTGAAAAACAAAAAGGTCATTTAGACGTAGTTCATATAGGTATGTCCTCCTGTGTAGCTAAATGAATTAATTTTACAGGAAAGCGCAAATCTCTCATGATGTCACTGGAGAACTAATGCTAACTCTGCTTATGGGTGTTAACAAGCCAAGGATGTGACTATTGACATGAGTACCTTGTGTAACTTTGATAAAGGTTTATAAAATCGAGTACATTTGCTGTTCGGGTTCGCTTGCATAATCTAAAATTCCAGCTAGCAATGGAATAGTTTTTTTTT